AAGATGAAAGTTGCAGAGATGAGGATGTTGAGGTGGATGTGTGGGCATACAAGGAGGGATAAGGTTAGGAATGAATATATTCGAGAGAAGGTGTGTGTGGCCCCCATGGAGGACAAGATGCGATAAGCAAGACTCAGATGGTTCGGGCACATTCAGAGGAGGAACATTGATGCACCGATGAGGAGGTGTGAGAGACTGGTTGTGGTGGACACGCGGAGAGGTAAAGGGAGACCTAAGAAGTATTGGGGAGAGGTGATCAGGCAGGACATGGCGCGACTTAGGGTTACTGAGGACATGGCCCTTAACAGGGAATTGTAGAGGTCGAGCATTAAGGTTGTAGGTTAGGGGAAATTGTGAATATTTTCTACAGCACACTAGAGTGAGATTAGACAGTTAGGAGTTAGTCTTAGGATGCTACTGATCAGCTACTGATGATGGGCTTTATCTGTTGGTTATTAGTATACTTTACATCTTTCTCGTATTTCCTATATTTCTTATATTGATGTTATTTTATGGTATTTTATGTTATGTTATGGATTTTATGTTATTTTCTGTTATTTTATTATGAGTCTATTGATAGTACTAATATAGCGTCTCTTGTTGCTTTCTTGAGTCGAGGGTCTCCTGGAAACAGCCTCTCTGCCCCTCGGGGTAGAGGTAAGGTCTGCGGACATATTACCCTCCTCAGACCCCACTTGTGGGATTATACTGTGTTGTTGTTGTTGTTATTGTTGTTCGATTGTTTTCACTTGGGCTTTGTTCCCTTAGCATATTGTGACATATTCATTTTGATTTTGGATAGATTCGACGTGTGTGGAGGCCGATTCGAGGAGCAAAGGCGTCACGAGCTAGAGATTTAGTCGGTTCGAGGTGAGTAATGATTGTAAATGATGCTCTGAGGGTTTGAAACCCCGGATTTCACATCGTAATACTTTATTGAGGTGAGACACACGCTTGATGATGAGTGTGGGGTCATGCACTATTGGGGATTGTGACTTGGTTCGTCCCGATTGATGATTTTATCGCGTATTTGGCTGAAACTTATTTGCTATCATCATGATTTGGGTTGATTGCCATATTTGGGCTTCGTGCCAACTATTTGAACCTTTCGGGGATTTTTATTACCATTTCCTCACTATTTTGACTTATTACTTAAACTCAGTCCCGTTATTTTCCACTGTTTTACTACTCAGCCATTTTTACTCAGTTTTGAGACTTAAATGATATTTTAAATGATGTTTTGGGCTGAGAGATACTGTTTTACTATTGCCCGAGGGACTTGTGATTATTTTTGGACTGAGTAAGGCCGAGGGCCTAGTTGTAAGGATACACTGGTACTGATATGAGGCCGAGGGCCTGAGATACATATATACGCCACGAGATGGCTTGATTGATATAACGCCGAGGGCCTAGACTTGATGCCACAAGATGGCTTGATATTGCGCTTGGGCTGTAAGGGGCCCCTCCCAGAGTCTGTACATCCCCAGTGAGCGCAGGTGCCCATTGTGATGTGAGATTGAGCCCGAGGGGATGACATTGTTCTGAGATTGAGCTCGAGGGGCTGGTACTATTTCTGAGATATTGCCCGAGGGGCAGATTTGTTGATACTGTGCCCGAGGGGCGAACTTCTATTTGTTTACTTACCTTCAACTACTTGTTTTACTTGTTGAAAAGGGATTTTTACTTGACTCTTCACTGTTTTACTGTTTTAAGTGATTCTTTTACTGCTTCATTATAGAATGGCTTGTGCCTTACGTGCTTTCTTACCTTCAGTCATTATTTATATTTATTATTTACTGGGTCGGAGTACTCACATTACTCCCTACACCATGTGCAGATTCAGGTATCGCTGGTTTCGCTCCTCAGTGTTGATTTCTCCAGTTCCAGGCGGTATTCGGAGACTACGTGGTAGTTGTTGGCGTACGAAACCGTGTGTCTCTACTATCTTGTCATTTCTATTTCCTTCAAACATTTGTACTAGATATTGGATTTAGCAGACTTGTATCATGGTCTATAGATGCTTGTGACTTGTGACACCCCAGTTAGGGTTGTGTCGGGTTCGACATTTCCACATTGTTATTGTTATTTCCGCTATTCAGGGTTATTAATCATGTTTAGACTATTTTTGTGTTGCTTAACTATTTTAAAAGGCGAATTTGGTCAAACTGGCTGGCCTTGTCTTCACGAGAGGCACCATCACGACCGGGTTCGGGGTTGGGGTCGTGACAAAAATGCTCTTTGACTGTATGACAAAAGCCTGTTCCAGCTTCTTTGCTGTTGATTTTATTCACTCTGCTTATTCCTTACTTACAAATTTCTATTCACAGTTGACTCTCCTCTTCGTACACCATTTATTTTAGAATATGGTGTTATTCCTCGATTTGATGAGTTTCTAGAGCGGAAAGATTCTCCCAATCTCCAGGTAGGCATTGATGTGTTGATTACTTTTTTAAGCGTGTTTCATGGTTGTAGATTCACTCTTTGTGGTTTCTGTTCACAGACTGAAGCTGTTTTGGCTCTCTTAGGCATTACTTCTATTGCCTTGTTGTTTACCAATTTATTGATTGAACATGGGCTGGTGGAAATTCTTTTAAAGCTTCTGGATTCTCTAAGTTGTGATGTTCGTGAGGAGGTGTGTTTTATGATTGGGAGACCCCTATGTTGTATTCCTATTTAATTAGCAGACTGATTGTATTTCGTTCCAACTATAGGCTGTGAAACAACTAGGACACGTTGCTGAGAGCACTAAAGGTCGTGATCTTGTTCATCGGCATGAGGCAGTGCGTCCTTTACTGGATAAGGTGTTGCGTCCTTTACTGGATAAGGTGTTGTGTCCTTTGCTGGAGGAGTTGGACGAGAATGCCAAGCTGGATAAGTTGAATGAGAATGTCAAGCTTCATTGAATTCTGAGCAATGCCACATATGCTTTATTAAGGTTTTGTAAAGCTGAAGAAAGACCTAATCGGTTTGAGCGGGAGGTTGGTTAATGAGTGTTGAAATGGTTACGCCAGCATATAGTACAAAACATTGCTTTCTTATGCATTAAAAATTTGTCACTGTGGGGGCCATTTAATCTATCTTCTATCTTCTACCTTCTATTACTAGAAAAGTGGGAACATCTAAAGTGAAAATTTGAAAGACAAAAATACCCATATTTGGTAGTTTGATGTCTTTTCCCTTAGTCAAAGACTAATCCAATAACAATTTTATACAAAGATGTAAAGTGTACACTCTATGGATAACAAGTTGAATTCATTTCGATATAAATATTCATCTAATGTAAATATACGTTTTGAAGAGAGAAGTAAGCGAGAACTCGAAATTCCTCACTACGTAGAGATGAAGACGTGGATGTGTTATTACATTTCAAGACATGTCTTTTGTGTAATACTAGATTACATTGTTCTTTTTTATTTTTTTTACTAAATTTGTTGTATTTCATTCATATTTTTGTCGGTATTTCTTATGGATTGTTTTGTTTGAGTCTAAACTTTTTGCAACTATGTGATTTTAACTTCAAGGTAACAGAGAATAAATATGGCACACATATTGTCAACACACCAGTTGGGTGGTAGACGATCAAAGGCCCTCACCTCGATAAGGTAAGAACATATTAAGCTTTTGTTTTATGTTTTTTCCTTATTTGATCTAGATAGTGGTTTTGGCCCGGTTTAGTTATCATTTTTTATTTTTCGTTTTTGTCCTTTTTCCAGTTTCCTTCTAGAGAATGCGCGTCCTTTGATTAGAAAAATAGGAAATTGTTGATTCATTTCTCTCTTGTTTGGAGTTTATAAATTAAAGGGATAATTATATGAAATAGTTAGGTAAATTTTAAAAAGGAATGCGTTACTGTAAAAAAAATGCCATATTTTGTCTCCTCTCCCCGCAGGAACCCCTCCGCTGGTCTTCTTTTTTGAAAGAATATAAAATTTTCAGTGTCTTTTTTTAGTTTATTATCCAAATATTGTGAAAACTATTTCTTTGTGATAGATTTAAAAGCTTTAACAGTAGTTCAAGGTTTGGTGAAAAAATCTAGATTTCACCATTATTGGGGTATTGAAAAAGCTTGAAAAGTTAATTAGGTCTTGTTGATTATTTGGAGGTTGAACTTAATTTGTTGCTAGAATTTTTTTCGACTAGTTGTTTAGATAGTGTGGTTGAATTTTGGTGTTGTTGGAAAATTTCTCACAAACAACCATGGTGGCGGCAACAACGGTGCTTAAGATAGATAATGGGAAGATGAAGATGGGTTTAATTCTAATTTCTAATGTTTCTTTTTCCTTTTAAAAGTCAATGATACGTGTCACGATCCTATTAGGGCATGGCTTTCACGTTATCTGAAAAATTGGTCAAACACAAAAGTGGTATATCTTAGACACACTTTTGAAAGGTTGAGTGTGTAAAATATTTTCCTAGAACGAGAAATGTGTAATAGGGGTTTCATTGCAAGATCGATGAGTAAACTATGTCAGCAGCTATTTTGGATTGTCAGGTTCGAAAGTTGAGATCAAAGGATATAGCTTCAGTGAAAGTGCAGTGGAGAGGTCGGCCCGTGGAGGAGGCTGCCCGGGAGACCGAGTGGGAGATGCGGAGCAGATATCCTTACCTGTTTGAGGCTTTAAGTATGTTTCTTGACTCGTTCGAGGATGAACGTTTGTTTAAGAGGGGGAGGATGTGACACCGGCCAGTCGTCTCATGAGTTACCACTCTGTTTCCTCCATTTCTACTTCTTATTGCTTTGTTTATTGGTTTTATGTGTGATCGGGTTGGTTGGCTCGGGTTCGAAAATATTTTGGTAAGGTTTGAGACACTTAGTCTCTTTTGAGGAAAATTAAGTTAGAAAAGTCAATCGGATGTTGATTTATATGATAAAGGGCTCGGATGTGAGTTCTGATGGTCTGGATAGCTTCGGGAAGTGATTTTGGACTTAGGAGCATGATCGGAATGTGTTTTGGAGGTCCAGAGTAGATTTAGGTTTGACTTGGCGAAATTGGAATTTTGGCGTTTTCCGGTTGTTATGTGAGATTTTGATATATGGGTCGGAATGGAATTCCTGGAGTTGCAGCAGGTCCGTTGTGTCATTTGGGATGTGTGTTCAAAATTTCAGGTCATTCGGACATGGTTTGGTAGACATTTTGATCAAAAGCAGAATTCAGAAGATGCGACTAAGGGACCGCAGTTGTGGTCACGCAGAAGCGAGTGTGTAGTCGTAGAAGCGGAAGAAGCCAAGGAAGGCAGGAACTGCAGAAACGGTTAAGGCAGGTGCTGGTCGTGTATCGTTGGCGATATATCAGTCGATGCGAGGCGTAAAAGGTGGTGATATTTCAGCCATGCGAGAGAGATAAGGTGGAGATCTTTCAGCCGATGCAAGAAAATAAAGTGGCGATATTTCAGCCATGCAGGATGGAGACAGAGCTTAGTCTCAGAAGGAAGAAAGGTTGACTTGTGCAATGCAGGAGATGCAGATGGAGGTAGAGCTTAACCTCGGAAGGCAGAAAGGTAGCCTTATGCAAAATGCAGATGGAGACAGAGCTTAGTCTCGAAAGGCAAAAAGGTAGCCTTATGCAAAATGCAGATAGAGATAGAGCTTAGTCTCGGAAGGCAGAAAGATAGCCTTATGCAATGCAGGAAATGCAGATAGAGGTAGAGCTTAACCTCGGAAGGCAGAAGGGTAGCCTTATGCAAAATGCAGATGGAGACAGAGCTTAGTCTCGAAAGGCAGAAGGGTAGCCTTATAAAATGCAGGAAATGCAGATGGAGACAGAGCTTAGTCTCGAAAGGCAGAAAGGTAACCTTATGCAACGCAGTAAATGCAGATGGAGGTAGAGCTTAACCTCGGAAGGCAGAAGGGTAGCCTTATGCAAAATGCAGATGGAGACAGAGCTTAGTCTCGAAAGGCAGAAAGGTAGCCTTATGCAACGCAGGAAATGCAGATGGAGGTAGAGCTTAACATCGGAAGGCAGAAAGGTAGCCTTATGCAAAATGCATATGGAGATAGAGCTTAGTCTCAAAAGGCAGAAAGATAGCCTTATGAAACGCAGGAAATGCAGATGGAGGTAGAGCTTAACCTCGGAAGGCAGAAGAGTAGCCTTATGCAAAATGCAGATAGAGACAGAGCTTAGTCTCGAAATGCAGAAAGGTAGCCTTATGCAATGCAGGAAATGCAGATGGGAGACAATGCTTAGTCTCGAAAGGCAGAAGAGTAGCCTTATGCAGTGCAAGAATGTAAAAGGATGATTAGTAGTAAAATCTCTTAGCTGATAGACAATTACGATAATATGACTGTTGGGGAGATTGTGTACGGATAGTAATTGCGGGCAAGTGATGATTTTGAGAAGTTGCATTCTTGGGAAAGTATGCGTACATAAATATACCTGATGATATTGCAAGTCGAGTGTCTGCATCCAAAGAAAATCGTGAGTTCTGTGAGAGGAAAGGTTAGTTCGTCTTCCCCGGGATCTTGATGTTGTGTGTCATTGGGGTAGCGACCTTTTACCCATTCTGCATCATCCAACTCTATCTGTTTACCTTACATTAATTACCTGTTTTACCTGTGAAAAGAGATTTTACTTGATTTTTACTGAGTTACTGCTTTCAAATGATGTTTTACTGCTTCACTATAGAATGCCTTGTGCTTTATGTGATTTCTTACTTTCAGCCATTATTTATATTTGCTACTCACTGGGTCGGAGTACTCACATAACTCCCTGCACCGTGTGTGCAGATTCAGTCGTCGCTGGTTCCACTCCTGAGTGCTAATTCTTCCAGTCTCAAGCGGTATTCGGAACTACGAGGTAGTTATTGGCGTCCGCAGCCCCGTGTCTCTATTATCTTACTATTTCTGTGTCTTTCAAACATTGGACTAGATATTGGATTTAACAGACTTGTATCAGGGTCCTTAGATGCTCATGACTTCTGACACCCCGGTTAAGGTTGTGTCAGGCTGGTTTCCGCATTTGTTATTCGTATTTCCGCTATTTCGTGTTATTAAACCATGTGTAGATTACTATTATGCTATTTAACTATTTAAAACTGAGAATTTTTTAATTGGCTGGCCTTGTCTTCATGAGAGGCGCCATCACGACCGGGTTCGGGGTTAGGGTCGTGATAGTTGGTGTCAAAGCCTAGGTTACATAGGTCTCACGAGTCATGAGCAGGTTTAGTAGAGTCTCGCGGATCGGTACGGAGACATCTGTATTTATCCTCGAGAGGCTACAGAACCTTTAGGAAAAACTTCATATTCTTGAAATTCTTGTTGTGCGAACTTGTTGGTCTGAGTACTAAACTTCTGTTATTCTACTCTCTCACAGATGGTGAGGACACGAGCTACCAGACGGGGTGGACGACCACCAGTACCACCAGCTGAGACCACTAGAGGTCGTGGACGCGGTCGTAGTCGTGGCAAAGGCAGAGTAACGAGGGCAGCACTTGTTGATCCACCAACTGCCCTAGTTTAGGATCAGGCTCCAGCTATGGATGCTCCAGTAGCACCAGTCCAGGCACCAGCTGTGCCTATTATGATTCAAGGCCTTCAGGAGGCTTTAGCTCAGATCTTATCACTGTGTACCGGTTTGGCTCAGGCGGTTTCAGCTACTAAGGCCGCAGCTACTTCACAGACCGGGGAGGGATCCAGACCCCCCTTGCTCGCACACCCGACCAAGTTGTGCAGGGACTCCAGACACTGGGGGCACCTCCAGCCCAGCCGGTTGCACCAGTCCAGGAGTTTGTAGTACCAGTTATGCTGGATGATGAGCAGCGTCGACTTGAGAGGTTTGGTAGACTCCAGCCTCCGACATTTAGCAGTGCAGAGGGAGAGGATGCCCAGGGTCTCTTAGATAAGTGCCAGCGGATACTTCGTACAGCAGGGATTCTTGAGACTAGTGGTGTGGCATTTACGACCTTT